CTATATAATGGATTTAATACTGCGTCTCGTAATTTGTATTAGCGTAGTGGACGATTTTTACATTCTCCGAACCTGATTACATGACATTTATTGGCGTTAAATTCCATTTTCCAAGTACAACTCACATGAATAAGCTCTCGATCTCACTTTGGAAGCAATGCTATGAGACGTTTATTATCCTTTTTGCAATTTCGCGTCGTTTGCACACATAGATAACTATCTGGACTTAAATCACTGATAAAAATAGTTAACCGATCCTTGATGTACTTCGTTAGTTACTCGTCGCTGTGTAGAGTGCTTCCCTCTAATTATGATGTTCATCTGTCTTTCATGAAGAAGGTACTTCAACCCACTGTTTCCTAATTACCCCATATAACAGCTTGCATACTATAATTTAAAGGGTTTTGTTTGTTGCCGCCTTTATATGCTGGTGCAACATTAGCAGGTTTCCAATCTTTTATTATTTTCTCTTGTCTCACTGTGTGTGTCTGTGTCTGTGTCTGTGCCTACATATACATATACATATATATATATATACTTATACATATATATGTATATATACTTATACATATATATGTATATATATATATATATATATATATATATATATATATATATATATATATATAAAGAGAGAGTACTTCAGTGGAGAAAAGCCTCATCGAATGTTTTTTCTTTTTTCACTATGAGATTACTTACGGCGCTCCTGTGTTGAGTAGATGCGAACGGTGGGATCTATAGGGACGTAGGTGAGTCTGTTGACGTTGTTCATGACGGTGCACAGCTGGCCCTGCGCGGAGTTCCGTAGGGTGTAAGCTTGGCAACCCACACTCGCGCAAATGGCCCCGCACGTAAGCCGAGTTGGCACCTGTTGGGATTTCTGAACTAGTTTTTTATACGTTAAAAGTGTGGATATGTTCGTGACTTTGTGAAGCCCTGGACATTTTCTCGCCTGTAAACAAGTAACCAATCATTTCTTGTGCAACTCCTCTTTCCTCGTACATGCAGATTATCATACACACGTATAAAGAAGCGTGTATTCGAATCTAAACATACATACTAAACGAAGCAAGCACAGCCCAGAATATACAAGCCGCCACAGCAGAGATCGTAGCAGAGGGGAATTACCACTTTGGCGACCGTGACCGTGCCCTGGAGAACCACGCCCTCTAGTTCGACGTACGAATGCACCGAGGTCGAAGCCAGCGCCGTCTGCACCAACGCCATCACGATCACAGCCGCCACTTTGCATACGAGCCACCATGACCGAGCCTGTCGCGTATAAACGTTTTTGTTATGATAATGTTGTCTGTTGTTTAAGGTTAGGGATATTATATTCATGGTGTAAAAAAGAGGAAATATTAGTCAGAAATACATATCCACTGAAATTGTATATAATTTTTTTTTTTTTTTTTTCAGAAACGTTTTTCTTAAGGTTACGATGATTGCTTCATGTATAAAATACCCTACAATGGATCGTTTTTCTCTCGCGTCCATTGCATGTAAAAGCCCAATCCTAAACACTCACGCGAACAAACACGTGCGGACACACATACTCACACTTAGCTCAGTACAGAAACACACCCTTCAAGAATAATAAAATAAAAGATATAATGAAATAAAAAATACATCACATATATATCAGAAGCGAGTGTGAACGAAGGAAATATCAAACGCACGATAAAAAAATTATAAAATTTCTATTCTATTCAAGGTCTCTTTTGATTTGAAGCATATGCGTGTGATCATTTCTTTTCAGGATGTAAATTTTTAAATTCATATTGTGTGCTCAATGATCTGAATATATGAATTTCAGGAATATAGTCCATGTCCACCTCTTCTTTCTTAAACATTTTCCTTTGGCTCTCACTGGCAGGCAGTAAAAAATGTTGAGCAATTAAAAACGACAAATGTCGATGACACAATGCAATTTGTCATCACCACCGGTATTCCAATTCTGCTCGTTTATACAAATAAATAATCAACAGCTATAAGTGAGGTTCGTTGACTCTTGTGCTGCTGCTTTTGGATGCAGCTGTGGAATTGCCCATCACTAATAGTATTAACAATTACGTAATACTCAGCACACACCTGTCCCAAACACCTCAATGATCCCTATTTAGAAAGAGAATGTATAGGTCTGCAAAAGGGATATTAATGATGATTTCCTACCAGCATCTCATTTATTATGACGACTATGAGCCATAGATCAGCACGTCAGCAACTCTCTGCATAAGCCAGCTGACAAGCGAATACAAACGGCGGCATTTAAGTTCAGAAGAGGAAAAGGTCATAATGATTTTTCTTTTATTCCATGCATACATACATAGGGGTCTTTTTTTCCCACAAGCGTACAAACAGTACACTTTTCCCAAGACTTTTCCCAAGTGATGAAATCTACCACAGGAATCTCCAATTTGACCTGGATCGTCATTTTTATGATGTTCTGAAAAGCATACGCCAGAGATTAACTCCCCCTCCCCCCCTTCCTCCTACTCCCATGCCAGAGATTAACTCCTCCTCCTCCACCCCTGCGTATGGTTTGTACATTCATGAAAATGATGAAAAAACTGGATGGCTCCTTTATAATTCATATCCCATCACCCAGCGTACACTCAGTAGCTTCGATGGTCGTTCATGATAATCACCAATTACACGATAACGGTTTTTGTGTATCATTCCTCGTCGGGTATTTTTTCAATTGTATATATGCTATATACATTTATATATAGCATACAAATGTAACATTCTAGCCAATAGTATAAATTAGAGAGCAGTAAATATTTTCTCCCATACAGTCGGTTCTGTTACCGTGTGTGTGTGTGTGTGTGTGTGTGTGTGTGTGTGTGTGTGTGTGTGTGTGTGTGTGTGTGTGTGTGTGCGTGTGCGTGTGCGTGTGCGTGTGCGTGTGCGTGTGCGTGTGTGTGTGCGTGTGTGTGTGAGTGTGTGTGCGTGTGCGTGTGTGTGTGTGTGTGGTGTGTGTGTGTGTGTGTGTGTGTGTGTGTGTGTGTGTGTGTGTGTGTGTGTTCTTACTGATAGCCGTGGCATGTTCGTCGAGGAATATGCATTCTAGGCCGCGGGATAATGGTATGGTTTGCGTGTGCATGTGCGCGCGTATGTGTGTGTGTGTGTGTGTGTGTGTGTGTGTGTGTGTGTGTGTGTGTGTGTGTGTGTGTGTGTGTGTGTGTGTGTGTGTGTGTGTGTGTGTCTGTGTCTGTGTGTGTGTGCGTGAGAGAAAGACACTTAACAAAAAAAATAATAATAATAAAAATAAAAAATAAAATTAACGTGTTGATAACATGGTTAAGAAAAGAAAATACAAACAACTCACTGAAAAGTATGACAACTGTTTCGAATCCCTCCTGGATTTCAACGTCTACCCCAGTCTGAGAAGTTTTTTTTTTCTCTCTCCCATAGTACCATTTGAACAAGGGTGAATTGCAGTATAGTCACAATGATGAACGAGTCAGACACTAACACTTCGATTTAAATTAGATTTAGAATAGAACGAAAATGGATACTCGTAGAAAGAATGAGCATAACTAGCTGACTGAAGACCACAGGGACACTGAATCAGAAAACAGCGTAATACTCAAAGTCAAGCTCTTTCCCCTGACAACGATGTAAGGTCATATGTTAGAGAAAAAATAATATTCAGCCTTCGTGAGAGTTTGACAATTTGCCAAATTCACAGAAAGTCAGAAACCAAATTCACAGAAAGTCACTTACTGCAGTGGAGGGAGAAAATCATAGATTGATTTCATCTTGACCAGAAGGACTGCAGGGTACTGCCGGGGGAAGCAGTCGCCACCCAGCACAGACCACTTGTCTGTAAGCTTAGACTAGCAGCGTCGAGGCAGGTACCGCAGTATAGAGGAGAAAGGAAGATCAGGTGGTGGAAATTGAAGGAAGTGAAATGTAGAGACGAGTTTGTGAATAAAGTTTTGAAGGAAGTTGATGGCAAAGAAGTGACATGGAATGCGTTGAGCGAGGTGATGAGGACAGTTTCGAAGGATGTACTCAGGGTAACATCAGGGAAACCGCCCAAGGCAGACAAAGACGCATGGTGGTGGACTGAGGAAGTCCAGGAAGCGGTGAATGCTAAGAGACAGCTGAAGAAGATCCGTGATCAGTTGCAGACTGACGAAGCTGCCATAGATTACAGGGAGGCGTGTAAGAGATGTAAGAGAAAGCAAAAGACATGGCATACAGGGAACTATATGCGAAGCTGGACAGCAAGGAGGGACAATCAATGGCCATACGGATAGCAGAGAGAAGGGACAAGAACTCAGCAGATGTGAGGCAGATCAAGGTGATTAAGGATGAGGATGGCCGGACCCTCACTGATGATGCGGAGATTAAGGAGCGGTGGAGGGCATACTTCAGGAAACTGTTAAATGAGGAAAATCCCAGAGAAGAAAGAGTTGACCACCGGGAAATGAGGGGATAGTACACAGAGTCACTCGGCGTGAGGTGCGGAAGGCAATAAGGAAGATGAAGAATGGAAAAGCAACTGGGCCAGATGGTTTACCAGTAGAGGCATGGAAATGCTTCAGCGAGCGGGGCATAAGGTGGCTACAGGCGATCTTCAACTCTGTGGTAGAAACGGGAAAGATGCCGGACGACTGGAGTAGCAGTATCATCATACCCATTTATAAGAACAAGGGAGATGTACAGGACTGTGGTAATTACCGCGGCATCAAGCTCACCTCACATACCCTAAAGATCTGGGAGCGAGTTATAGACGCGAGGCTGAGGACAATGGTGCATGTTTGGCTTCATGCCAATCAGGAGCACCACAGACGCTATCTTCATTCTGAGGCAGTGATAGAAAACACAGAGAAGGACAGGAGAACCTGCACTGCACCTTCATAGATCTTGAGAAGGCGTACGATTGGGTGCCTAGGGAAGAACTGTGGGCGTGCATGAGAGAGACGAAGATCCCTGAAAGCTATGTGAGAGTGGTGCAAGATATGTATGAAGGGTGCACTACGAGAGTCAGAACTGCATGTGAGTTTGAGGTGACAGTGGGATTACACCAAGGTTTAGCAATCAGCCCATTCCTTTTCCTGATCATCCTGGAGTGTCTGACTAGGGACATCAGAAGAGGAGCACCATGGGATATGTTGTTCGTTGATGACGTGGCGACATGCCCTGGAAAGACGCGGCATGAGAGTGAGCAGGAAGAAAACTGAGTATCTTTGCACAAGTGGAGGTCAGAAAGAAGAAGGTACCATCAGAATTGGAGATGTCCAACTGAACCGAGTGAAGGATTTCAAGTATCTAGGTTCAACCGTACAAGAAGATGGGGGCACCGAGCAGGAAATTGCGAGGAGGATCCAGTCGGGATGGAATAGGTGGAAGAAGATCACCGGAGTTGTATGTGACCGCAAGGTGCCAGACAAGGTGAAGGGAAACCTTCACAAGCTCATGGTCAGACCAGCGAAGTTATATGGATTGGAGACGGTCCCTCTAACAAAGTCGCAGGAAAGGAAACTAGAGGTGGCAGAGATGAGGATGATGAGATACGAAGTCGGAGTAATTAGGTTGGACAAGATCAAGAATGAGACTACTAGAGAAATACTGGGAATTGGGCGATACGGTTGGTTTTGGCATGTGTATAGGAGGGATGAAGGGTACGTGGGGAAGAGAGTTATGAGTATAATAGTCGGAAAAAGAAAGAAGAGGCGACCCAAGAGGCGGTGGATAGACTGCATTAGAGACGACATGAGGAGCGTCGGGCTACAGGAAGAGGAGGCCTCAAACCGGAATGCTTGGAAGGGAACAAGCCAGTAGAAGAAGAAAAAGAGAGTTTGACAATTTGCAGATTAGTATTATTCCGGACAAAAGCTTCACGTAAGAATGGAAGCGCCAAGAATTATGCAGGCTGTGCAATCCTTTTTCTTTCTTTCTTTCTTTCTTTTAATTTTCTTTATTATTTTTTTTCAATCGTTTTCTTGTTCTTTAATGCTTTTTTCTTTTTTCTTTTTTCTCCACAATCCCTTTTTCTTCTTTTTTTCTTCTTCAATCCTTTTTTTCTCTTCTCCTTCAATTTTTTTTTCTGTTTTTCTTCTTTTTTTTTCTTTTTCTTCTTCAAACTTTTTTTTTTCTTCTTTCTCTTCCTTTTTTTTTCTTCTCCAATTCTTTTCTTCTTTTCTTCCTTTTTCCCTTCTTCAATCCTTTTTTCTCCAATCCTTTTTTTTCTTCTTCAATCCTTTTTTTTTTCTCTTTTCCTTCAATCCTTTTTTTCTCTTTTCCTTCAACCCTTTTTTCTTCTTTTATTCCTTCTTCAATCTTTTTTTCTTTTATTCCCTTTCTTCTTCAATCCTTCTTTCTTCTCTTTTCTTCTTTTTTTCTTCTTCAATCCTTTTTTTCTTCTTTTTTCTTCTTTTTTTTCTTTTTTCAATCTTTTTTTCTTCTTAAAAGCGTTTACCATCAAACGGCGGGTTTAAATGGAAATTACTAAAATAATTTTTGTGATCGCTGTGGGTGTCTGAAAAGAATTTAGGATTTTCAGTGAATGTTCACGTTTAATGAAAAGGAAAACAACTTTAGGAAAGTGACTTTCTTGTTAATAAATCACCTGCAAAAGAAAGAAAAAAAGAAAGAAAGAAATAGTAATAAGATAAAATAAAAAATTAAAAATCATGTAAGCTTTTAAGCCACTAATTTCTTCGTGTATGATTAGTAACGTAAACTGGCTTACTGTAAAATCAAAAACTTGAAAAGAGGAACCATTATATAAGAAAATCTCGAAAAAAAGAGTAATTCTCCACGATTATTCCCACCCAGTTTTGGAATTGGCGCTATGAGGCAAGCTGTTAAGTGTCAGCTAAAGTTCGCGATATTTGAACGAAGCATGGACCTCAAAAAAAGAAAAAAATAATGAAAATTAATAAACTAAAATTCGAGATATTTGAACGAAGCATGGACCTCAAAAAAAAAATAATAATAATGAAAATTAATAAACTAAAATTTGAGATTTTTGAACGAATCATGGACCACAAAAAGAGAAAAAGAAAATGAAAATTAATAAACTAAAATTCGAGATATTTGAACGAAGCATGGACCACAAAAAGAGAAAAAGAAAATGAAAATTAATAAACTAAAATTCGAGATATTTGAGCGAATCATGGACCACAAAAAGAGAAAAAATAGTAAAAATTGATAAACAAAAATTTGAGATATTTGAACGAATCATGGACCACAATAAATAAATAAATAAATAATAATAATAATAATAATAATAAGTCAATAAATTCAAATTCACGATATTTCAAAAAATCATTAAAAAAATATGATAACAGCAATCATAATAATGATACTGACGATAATGATAATGATTTGATGATGATGAGGTGATGTGAAGATGATGATGATGATAATGATATGATAATGATTTGATGATGATGATGATGATAATGATGGGATGATGATAATGATATAATAATGATTTGATGATGAGGATGATAATGATGGGATGATGATAATCTGAGTAATCTGAGTCCAGTAAGTAATCTACACATCTAGGAAAAGAGATAAATACGATTCGAGTTTTCCTCGCGCCTATTTTTCTCCTGTATCTGGCGTCTGAATGACTTATATTGCAAATCACGAAATTCCTTTTGAAAGACGTTTTTTTTTTTTCTTTCTTTCTTTTTTTCTTTCTTTCTTTCTTTCTTTCTTTCTTTCTTTCTTTCTTTCTTTCTTTCTTTCTTTCTTTCTTTCTTTTCTTTTAAGGTTGGGAGGTGGGATAGGAATCAAAACTGAAGTCAAATTCAAAAGTCCTTATATATTCAAAAGTTTTATGCGTGTTATTATCATCATTTCGTGTGCAACAAGGCTGTGTGCAATAGGGGTGCTTCCAGAAGAAAGAAATGTGTTCTTTTCACTTATTTTTTTCTTGATCTACGAATGGGCAATACTAAAGAGACATATCCTATACAATGAAGAAAATCTGCAACACACCCACCCGTGTGACTGTTCCCGTGAGGAGTTTAAAAAAAAAAGAAAAGAAAAATAATCAGTAATCCCTATCTGCCGCATTTCTTTCTCTCTCTCTCTCTCTCTCTCTCTCTCTCTCTCTCTCTCTCTCTCTCTCTCTCTCTCTCTCTCTCTCTCTCTCTCTCTTCTTGTTTACAGTATCGAGAGATATAGAATGATAGTAATAATAATAATAATGAATGATTTACAATTGGCAACAGAGGCCTAATCAAGAAACTACGTGTATTAAAAAATGTCAGACTAAAGTAGCTGCTTTCAAATATGCATTTATAAATATGAAGCAATCTCTCTCTCTCTCTATCTATTTATCTCCCTCTCTCGCTCTCACACACAGACAGACTTCTTTCCTTTCGTGTATTTTGTTGATTTGTTTATTGTTGTTGTTGTTATTGTAATTATTATTATCATTATTATTATTATTATGCATGAATTGAAACAAAATCGAAGGATGTCTAGGTCATTTAGCCCCCCCTGGAAAGCTGAGGGCAGTAGCTCACCAGCGACCCCGCCTTCCTCCCAAATGACGCCCCTGCCTAACTGTCCTAACTAACTGCCTTCGTCATTTCATATAATCACCCTCTTATTAAGGCCAACATCAAAACCCCTATTCCTAGTAGCACAGCAGCCATCCCTGCCATCGTTATCACGCTCGCTACATCCTTCGAAGAACCTCCTGAACCGCTCGCAAAATGCACCCACCAGACGCCACTCCTGCGAGCGCCGCCTTTCAGACGAGTGCCAGAGAACCATGCTGCGAGGAGGCGCCTTTCGATTCCAGTTCACTCCAGTGCCCTTGGAAGCTTCTTCCGGAGTGACTCGCACAAGGCCACGAAGAGCAGGACACCGCAGGCGACGTCCCTTCGTCACAAGGGCGTGAAGTTGACTGGATACTCTTCAGTATGACAACGAGAATGTATCTGCGAGTCAATTGAAGTCCACATTGAATATCGGAAATGAACTGTGTCTAAAATAGCAGCATATATTGATATATACATTTATAATAAATAGAATAAAATAATATAACGCAGCCTACACATAAATACGATACAGGTATATAAACAACACAGACATCTACATTTACATCTATTTAATCTATCTATCAACCAATATCTACGTCTATCTATTCATCTATCTATCTATCTATCTATCTATATATATATATATATATATATATATATATATATATATATATATATATATATATATATATTTGTGTGTGTGTGTTACAAACACACACATACACAAATATGTATACATTTTTTTTCTTATACTGTATATATATAAATATTTATTTATTTATTTATTCCTTTATTCATACTGTATGTATATATATATATATATATATATATATATATATATATATATATATATATATATATAAATATATATATATATATATATATATATATATATATATATATATATATATATATATATATATATATATAATGATTATATGTGTATATATACATATATATACATATCATGGTGATAACGAAACATTCAAACCACATACATAAAAATAAAATCTCTGAGTATATTTCTGATAATTAAATTAAATGTATTTTTTGTAAGTAATCGACTACCGATAACTGCGTAACTCATCGCAATAAAATCAGTTACAAGCTTTCAAAGGGAAATATATTTTAAATCTATTAATATTCTTGTGGACTGCGTATTGCAAACTTACACGTAGGAAACAAAATCAAAAATAGGTATTGCCTCGCCGAATTCACTGTGTTGGACAAGTAAAAGTTAAGTTCTGTAGAATAACGATGTCGAAAATATCATGTAAGGCCAAGAACTAATCTTTTCTAGAACCCCAAAAGTAACGATAACTGTTAGCAAGAATGGTAACGTCATTACTTTTAAAATGTAAGCTATCCACCATTATATATATACATATATATACATATATATATACATATATATGTGTGTGTGTGTGTGTGTTTGTGTGTGTGTGTGTGCATATATATATACCGTATATGTATATATATATAGATAGATAGATTGATGAATATTTATACATACATTTACATAAATGTACACACACGTGTGTGTGTGTGTATAAGTACACACACACACACATATATATATACTTACATATATATATATACATATGTATAAATATGTATATATATATGTATATATATATATATATATATATATATATATATATATATATATATATTAGTATGTATTTACATGTGTATGTGTGCATATATGTATATATATATATATATATATATATATATATATATATATATATATATACATATATGCACACATACACATGTAAATACATACTAATATATATATATATATATATATATATATATATATATATATATATATATATATATATACTTACATATATATATATACATATGTATAAATATGTATATATATGTATATATATATATATATATATATATATATATATATATATATATATATATATATATATATATATTAGTATGTATTTACATGTGTATGGGTGCATATATATATATATATATATATATATATATATATATATATATATATATATATATATATATATATATACAGTGGTACAGTGGTAACGCGCGCGGCTGTGGGCCGGAGGGTCCGCAAGCGCATGGGTTCGATTCCCGACCACGGCCCGAGGTTAGGAAGGGCATCCACTCGGGGTAACGGTCTCCACCTGCCAATACCTGCCTGCCTTTCACGGGGTAGGCCCGTCCTAGCCCTTGTCCGAAAAGGGAGTTTCGTGACGTGAAACCGAAATCGATAGATATATATATATATAG